CACTGTTTGTAACAGCAAAAAATTGGAAACAACTTAAAAGCTCATTCCTGTGGGAACAGTTAAAAAGTAAGACTTGTGGGTACACAAGGAAGACTGGAAATGAGATTTTGTCTTCCTCTCCCTTCCAAAACTTAGCTAAATAACAAGAAAAGTAAAAGAGGCATCCATCTACAAAGAGCAGGCAAAAGCAAATTCACTGCCACCAAGTCGATTCTGACTCATAGTGACCCCCATTGGGTTTCCAAGGCTATAAATACTTACGGAAGCAGACTGCCTCTTCTTTCTTCCATGGATCTGCTGGTGGGTTCAAACCACTGACCTTTTGGTTAGGAGAACAGGCAGCAAGGGCAATACAAGGTCAACAGGGTTTTGGAGGTGGGCAGGTTGAAGAGAGGTGAGAAGCTTAACAGGCCAGTGGGAGTCAGGACAAGATGTCTACAGAGCCTTGGAGACTCCCAGACCCATCCACTCCCACCCCCACCCCAGGTCAAGGCCTGGCTGAACACAGGAGGTGGCTCAGAGTCTGTGTTCAAGGTGTGGAGACCCCTGGGGTTCCCTCACTGGCAGGGAACAACCCGTCATACACACCACCCTACTCCGGGCTCATTATCAGGAAAGCTTTGGACTTGGAAACACCAGGCCTAGCAGAGGACAAGGTGAGGCTCTGGGCTGGCAACCAGAGCCCCCACCCTGCTCCAGACCCTCCACCTTCCTTAGTGAGGAGAGATGATGGAAAATAAAGGATATTCACCTCTTGTGAAATCCGTGGCCCCAGAGAAATCCTGCCACTTACCGACATTTGGAGGTCCCTCATGAAAGGATTTTGAACTCTAGTGGCATAGTGCGTAAGGCATTTGACTGCTAACCAGAAGGCTGGTGGTTCAAACCTACCAGCCACTCCCCAGAAGGAAGATGGGGCAATCTACTTCCGTAGTGATACTGCCTCGGAAACCCAAGGAGGGGTCTCTATGAGTTGGGTCTGACTCGATGGCAGTGTGTTTGGTTTTTTTGGTTTACAGCAAAGCTAGTAATAGTCAATAAGTGCCCCACCCCCTTCCACACACACAGAGCTTCCAACTGATTTTTGGTGGCTCCCTTTTAACCATGACAAGGACCAGTAGACATGTGAGGAAAGTCTCTCAAATGAAAGAGAGATATCTCCCATATACTAAAAAAAAAAAAAAAAAAAAAAAAACCACCAAAGGACTCTGGAAGAGACAGAGATACTGGGTAACGCAAGTAAAAGCATAATTGTTAAAAGTCTGAAGGTGCAAATCAGTGTGTATAGTCTGTTAGCATTTGTGTTTAAAAAAGGAAAAATGAGGCAGCTCTGCATATACTTGTCTCTGCACCAGCTCTCCCTGGAGGATTCACAAGGCTCTGGAGAGTGGCTGTGTCGGGGTGGGGGTACAGTTAGCTCGGAGCAAGGGTTCACAGTACACTCTTTGTACTTTCTGAATTTTTCAATATGATTGTATTACCTAGCTTAAAATCTAACATTGAATTTTTAAAATATAATTTTTTATCCTCAGAAAGTTAGGAGAAAATATTATATTTTGGAAATGGAAAGAAAAAAAAAAAAAGGAATAATAATATTTGACTTCTGGGTGGTGCAAATGGTTAAATGCTTGATTTCTAGCCGAAAGGTCGGTGGTCTGAACTCAGAGGTGCCTCAGAAGACAGGGCTGGTAATCTTCTTCCAAAATGTCACAGCCTTGAAAATCCTATGGAGCCTTTTCTACTCTGCACACATGGTGTTGTCATGAATCAGAATTGATTCAACAGCAACTAACAACATGATAGTAACATAAGGAGATAGAATTGACTCAACAGCAATAGGGTCGGTGTGTTGGTACCAGTGGTTGCTGCACAGAAAGCCTGACAATCTTCTTCCATAAAGATTACAGCCAAGAAAACCCTGTGGAGTTCTCCAGTGTAACCCATGGGGTTGCCACCATTTGGGAGAAGTGGATTGAGGGGTGGCCAAGGGAACTTTAGCTTCATGTTTAAAACGATAAAACAATTTTTAATACTTCACACAGAGAATGCAGTCACATAATTTGTGTGTGTGATTAAAAACTACCTTTGTCCATGTGGCAATCCATGTGAATTGTCCTGCCCGTAGTAGGTACTTAATGGATAACCTCCCTTCCCTCCACAATCCCAGGCCTTAGCAGGCAGCCCTGGGAGCCTTCTGGGTTTGAACAGCTGACGGTGAAGGTGTGGGGCTAGCCGCTCTAGTGCAGCATTCCCAATGGTAGGCTTCTTCTGCTCCTAATTAGAAGGTCTTTTTTTTTTTTTTTACAAGCTGGTTGACACATGAAGTCCCTCAAATTAATTACTAGCTTGGTTAGGCTTGACTCATGTGGATGAGGCAAGTTCATGAGTCAGCGTGGGAATGACCCAGCCCCCTTCCATCCCAAATTCTAAGCCAGTTTTTGTTAGAAGAATGTGGCCTATATCAGAATCACTGGAGGTGGTTGTTAGCAATGCAATCTTGGGCCCCTCCTACATCCTTTGAATGAGCCTTCGAATAAGCCTAGGGTGGGGGGCAACCCCTCAAGCTGATAAATATAAGAAGCCATGATCTCAGTTATACAAATGTATTATTTCCTTTGTCTAGAGTTCAACTTGCTTCTATTTTGTGTCTCTCTTCTATGTTGCAGAAAACATTCTCATTTATTTCCAGGTAAACTTGGTCGTCTCACCCTACCCTTTCTTCTGCTTCCACCATTGATATAAATTTGGGGGGCTCCCTAGGTAGGGTGGTGCCGGGAGGCGCTGCTCAGTGGGAGTCCTCTCTGACATACATCCTCCTGGGTCCCCACCTCCATGGATCATATGTGCCCCCGTTTCTACTATCACAGTATCCTGGGCTGGAGTTTACAACACCAGGTTTCTACACCACACTCCATGGCCTTGGCGTCCCAAATTTACCTGAGACTCCCTTCCTTCCACATCCCCTGCACTCAGCCGTTCAAACCCACCAGCCACTCCTCGGAAGGAAGGTTGGGCAATCCTACTTCCGTAGTGATACTGCCTCGGAAACCCAAGGAGGGGTCGCTATGAGTCGGGGCCCGACTTGACGGCACATAACAACAACAACAACAACAACAACAGACCTGTACTTAGTGTCTTGCTTGCTGGTGAGCTTGCTCTCCCCGGGGGGAGCAGGGGGTTGGGGCAGAGTCGGGGAGGCTCTGTCTCTTTGCACCACCTTCCCTGTCTTATACCCTGACCCCTGAGCCTTTTGAACTTAAAAGCCTGGAATTTGTATCTTTGTTCTTCAGAGGCTATAAAGGAGAATGGTTGCGGGACCAAAAAGCAATCAGCCAGCATGCCACAGAGCGATCTGAGACCCCCATGCAAGAAGCTCTTTTCTTCTCCACACAGGCTGAGCCATCCTTGATGTCCTGTGTCAGTGCACAAGGGCCAGGCAGGTGGCTGCTCTGCGGAGGTGGAGGGAGCCAGAGCATCTTATCTTAGATGCGGCTGAGTCTCCACACCCGCACGCTCCCTGCTCACTCACCTCCCCCAGACAGCTGTGAAATGACACCTCTGGTGACAGAGCCAGTCCCCAGGCTTCTGCTGAGAAGGAGGGTGCTGCAGTGCGGGAGGTTCTCACACTCAGAGGCCCTGGGAAGCCTGGGTTGGGGAGCGAAGGACCCAACTCTTGTTTTTCTCAGATACCAAGCCACCTGGCCCCTTTTTCCAAGGGTGCTTCAGAGAGACGACACCCCAGGGCCACTAACCTCCCCTAGAATACCTCCTTCTTCACCCTTGGGGCAGGATAGGCAGTCTCGTCTTTGTCACCCTCTGGAGCCTGCAATGCTGGCTGCGCCAGGCCTGCTGAGGATGGTAGGATGAGTGTGTGCAGCTGCTGGGTCTGTTCAGAGAATCGAAACAGAGGCCAGTCAGAGCTGAAAGGCTCATCTCCTCCAACTATATTTTCCAGAGCAGTCCATTTAACAAATATATGTGTAGTGCCTACATATGAAATATATTTTGAGTCCAGAGAGAAAGTCTCCAGGGTCATACTCTATGAGGTCAATCCACATGTAAAGCAGCTCTGTGTAACCTGGGCACCCCTCAAACTGGCCCCTTGCCCACTATCATCCTTCCCCTTAAACAAACCAAAAAATCTGCCCTTTTGGCCCACACCCTGTGCCTGGAGTCAAAGGCTGAGCCCTCTTTATACTTGGCAGGTGTAGCAGACTCAACTCTGGGCAGAGCTAGTTTAAGCCATCCTGCAGTCATCACCGGGCAGCCTTGTGCCCTCCGGCCTGAGGTCCTTAACCTACCCTACCTTAGTCGGACCCACGCGTTTCCCCTGCCAAGTACCCCTGTCTGAATTCCTACCTGTGAGGAGGGGCAGCTTTCACCCCTGCAGCCCCTGCCTGGATTGGCTGACAGAGAAGAGCCTGCACCGTCTCCTATACTTCGTCTCCCTCCTATCCAGACCTCCTTGGGACATTCATCTACTGGGTGATGGGGTGGAGACCAGCTCCTCACCCCAGTCCATCTCAGTAGCAGACTCCAGGCTCTCTCCGCATTGCCTCTGGGATTTGTCTTCCCCACCTGGTCGAGCACCCCTACCCACCCACTTCCAGCCCATTCCTAGTACTGAGAAGGGCGGATCTCCAGGCTTTGGGACCAGGGCGCAGGGTTTGAACTTGAATTGTGGGGTAGGGACTGGTTTCTAGTTTTCACGGATGAGGAAGAATGTGGTTAGAGGGTGAGCTGTAGGACCCGGGTGCGGTGTGCGGTAGGGATTAGGGTAGGCTGTGGTCAGCTAGGGCAGGTTGATGGTGGGTTTGGGGAAGTCGCAGTACTCAGGCTTGGGAGTTCGCGGGTGCTGTAGAAAGAGTGGGGGCACCTGAGTCCCAGCGAAGTGACCCGCCAGTTACGACCCCAGCCCCACCGCAGAGCGCCGCGCCGCGCCCCGCCCCCGCGGTCCCGCTCCCAACGCGTCGCCTGCCGCGCCCCGCCTCCGTCCGCAGTGCCCGGATGTGGGTGACGTGCGGCCGCCATCTTCCCGTCCCCGGCAGCCAGCGCTAGTCGGAGCCAGCGCGAGCCGCCGCAGCCGCTGTCGCTGTCGCCGCCGCCATCGACATCACTGCCGCTGCCTGCCAAGTCCTCCGCCTGCTGCCTCCGCCATGTGAGTGGGACGCTTGCCGCCCGCGCCCGGCATCCCCGCGCCGTACCGCAGCCATTGGAAACGAGCAGCGGGGAGTGCCTGGGGCTTTGCCAGTGTCCTCCGCACTGCCTGCGCCCCTAAGCCAGGCCAGCGCCCGTGACTGCGCGCGGGAGCCCCGGGAACCTTGCGTCTCAGGCTGACCGGCGGACGATGGCTGCGGGAGAGAGCGGACCTGGGAGTCCGCCCGCCCAGCCTTGCGCTGTCACCGCGGCCGCCAGTCATTTCAGGGCGACCCTGGACCGCATCTGTAAAGTCGCATTTGACAGGCGGGGAAACTGAGGCTCAGAGGGGGGAGGGGGGCTCGCTCAAGGTCACGAAGCTCCTCGGCAGCGGGGCTGGATGGAGTGCAGGGCTCCCATCGGGTGGCCTCCCTCCCAGGCAGGTGGAAGAGAGAAACGGATGGATGGACAGGCGGCTGGGCGGAGCCCTGGCTGCGGGGCCAGGGCCTGAGGCCCCGATTCCTAATCCGTCCTTGCCCCGCAGGTCGGCTACCGCTGCCACTGCCCCCCCTGCCGCTCCGGCTGGGGAGGGAGGCCCCCCTGCACCCCCGCCAAACCTCACCAGTAACAGGAGACTGCAGCAGACTCAGGCCCAGGTGGACGAGGTGAGTGGGGGGGCTGTCAAAGCCAGTGGAACGATCCTAGGGGTTGGCAAACAAGTGTGGAGGTCCATCTTGTGTTGGGGATGATGACAGCCGGTTGACATCTGTGTGTTTGGGGACAAAGATATACCATGCCCCCCATCTTGGCCAGTGTGGACTTGGAAGGTTTCCGGGGTGTTAATCACCTTGTGGTAGCCTGGGGTGAGGCAGCCTGGGGTGAGCTTGCCGGGGGCAGGTGTGCTCTGGTGATGGACTGGCTACGTGAGGTTGATATAAAGGGTGCTGCTACGATGTCTGAGGTGTCTGGCTGCCAGCATGCCCTGATGTGCGTCCCTTGCATGTCCCCAGGTGTGCTAGGCAGGTCTTTGGCATGTTAGCCTGGCACCATCGGGGTGCATGTCCCGCTGTATATGTGGCATAACGGGCTCGTGTTGGAGAAGTGCTCTCACTGAGGTGGGCCTCTCCCTTAGGTGGTGGACATCATGAGGGTGAACGTGGACAAAGTTCTGGAGCGGGACCAGAAGCTGTCAGAGCTGGATGACCGTGCCGATGCACTCCAGGCGGGGGCCTCCCAGTTTGAAACAAGTGCAGCTAAGCTCAAGCGCAAATACTGGTGGAAAAACCTCAAGGTAAGGGCGGGGGAAGGCTGCAGGGCAGGTAGGAGGACTGTCAGGTGAACGGGGGTATCAATGTCTGTCTTGCTGACCATCCCCTCCTCTTGTCCCCAGATGATGATCATCTTGGGAGTGATTTGCGCCATCATCCTCATCATCATCATTGGTGAGTAGGGAGGGGGTGGCCAGGGCCTTTTCTCTGGAGAGGTTTCCCCTGTGGATTCTGGGTTTTGAAGGTCATTAACCTTGTTCTGACTATTCAGCAAAAAACGTTTGTTGGCTGCCAGTGGCAGTTCTAATTCGTGTAGATCCCAAACCTGGTGTTGTGTAGCCTGCACTTTGCCTGGTTCTGGCAAATTTCTCTTAAGTTTTTGGAAATGGGAAAGCTGGTGGATCTCCACTGCTCCCGTGAAGACCCTTTGGGCCTGAAAGCCCAGGCTGGGTACCCTGGAATTAAGGAGTGAGGGAGCAGGAAACGCCCAGGGGCTCAAGATTAGAAGCCAACCACCCCATTCTTTGAGACCTTATAGGTTCAGAGGACTAGGGGTCTGTAGCCCAGGGCCATACCATGGAGTTGAAGGGAGCTCGGAACTCCCCTGTCCAGCCCCGTTACTTACTACAGATGGAGAACCTGAGGCCCAGAGAGGGGAAGGGACGTCAGCCAGCTGGGGAGTGGGGAGGATGGGAGCAGGGCCAGGCCTGACACATGGCTTTCTTTCTTTCTCTCTCTCTCCCCCCACTCCTCCTTCCTTCTCTTTCCCTCTCTTCACAGTTTACTTCAGCACTTAAACCCCTGAGGAGCCTGCCCTGCCCAGAGAGGGGCCTCTCCCCCCTACCCCCAACTGCTCCTTCACCTCTCAGCCATATCTTCCAGCCCCCCCTCCCCTGGATCCATGTGTGTGTGTCCGTGTGTGCGTCCCCTTGTAAATAGCCAGCTGTTATTTATACATATATAATATTATATATATTTGGTCTGTTTGTAGTTTTATTACTAGAAGATTTTTCCGGTTGTCCTTAACACCCCTTCCTGAAGTTCCCATCACCTCCTCTCTCTCTCCTTGCCTTCCCCTGTCTTCCTGACCAGCCCCTAGACCCTTCATTTGCATCTGCTATGCAATAGTCCCCCTTCCTTCCCTCTCCTTCCCTGGATTTAGCTAATCCTCCTACCCTGCCTTCCACTCACCCCCACCCCACCTAACCCCCTCCCCCCAAACAAAAAGCAACTGTCCAGACCTCCCTAGGTGTAGCTCCTTTGTACCTATTGGGAGGCTCTGAGACTGGCCCGACTTGGTCCTAAGAACCCCAAAGTCTTTGGGGAGTTTCCAGCATGTTGATTAGCATATCATTTGCATCCTGCCATCTCTCTGGGTTTCCTTCTTGGTTGTTCCATCACTTTTCACTCTGTCGCCTGTTTCTTTTTTACTGAGACGTCCCCATTGGTCCTCGTGTCACACTTTCATTTGCACGACTTTACTTGCAGGTGGTGGGGAGCCTGGGCTTTTGTGGAAACCAGGCTGTTCTGGCCCCAGAACTGCCCTCTCCTAGCCCCTCTAGTCCACTTTGCCTCCCTTACCTCCATTTTCCAAACCTCTTGTTCCCTCTTCTCCCTCCCCCCAGCTGGTGTGTAAGTGTTTTGGAGTCCAGTGTGTTATGATGGACCAATAATTCTGCCACTTGGGGTCTCTCCCCACATTCCTGTTCTCCAGTTTTCCTGTGGGGAGCCCAACTGACATTCCTGTGGAGTCTCCCTCTTACCCATTTGCCTGATTCTTCTCCCTCTCCCAGCAGGAGGGTTGGAGGTTGGCCACAATCTGATCTCTTTTGGGAGGGGTGGCTGCCAGTGTTGGGGCACCATCACTGCCTTGGGGAGGCATGGGACAGGGCAGAGAATCCCCCCAATTCCTGCCTGAAATCTCCTCTGGCCCCACCCATGCTGGGAGGTTGGACTGAAAACCTTTCCTCTGAGGGAATATTGCCCCCATCTATGCCCAGCTCCTCTGACTGTGCCCCCGAGTCAGGGTGGGAGTACTAGTCACTGCCAATAGGTGTCTGGGACTTGCTGGAAGATGCAGATCCTCTGCCCTGTCCAAGTGGCAGAGCCCGGAGAGCTGTCCCTTAGGTGAAGTGGTAGATGAGGGGTCAAATATCTTTTTAAATGGCACAATTTTAGGGGTCTGAGGGTATAATCCCTTAACCTGCCACTGGAGGGGACCCCCACCCCAAACTCTTCCTTCCCCCACACTTGAAGCTTTCTGTGTGGTGGGGGAGCAGGGATATCTAAGCTGTGGTGTGAAAGGGTAGGGAGAGATGCTGGGGGTGGGGGCACTGTGTTCTAGACCCCCCCATATTATCCCAGTGTCCCCTGCCCCCCCTTCCCCCACCCTGTGCCCCCAATTCTGTGGCGCATCCAGATTGTGAAAATGTACAATAAATATGTGATGAGTAACCAGATGGTGTCTGTTCTAAATGGTGTCTTTTATTAACCAATGGGAAGGGTTTTGAATCTGCAGGTATAAGGGAAAGATAGAGAAAAAGGGACTGGGTTTTGAGGGAGGGCCTGACCTTGGGCAGTGCAAAGTGTGATTCCCAAAGTGGCCACGCGGGGGGGCGCAAGGAATTGGTAACGGGGAGACGTGTTCATGAGAGCTGGGTCTCTAAGTCTGGTTAACCCTGCGGGATGCCTCCCCATGCCCTGGGGCATGATTCTGCTGTTGGATCTCCTTCTGCCCCTGGGTTTAACTCCCAGGTGCTCTGCAGTCACTCCCGTGAGCACTCAAGTAGATGACCAACTTGCTTGGAGCATCTCTTCTTTGTGTCAGTACCCAGAGGGGTTTAACAAATACTTCTTGAACTGATCAGCCTAGGGAGACCCACCTGAGTGTGGCCCCGGAGCTGGCTATAGAGGGCCTGCTACCCCTGCACCTTGTGTTGTCTGACTGGTGACTCGACCCCACACCCAACTAACTCATCCATCCCTGTCCTGAGGCACTTCCAACAGTGGGAAGAAGATGCTAGCTGGGTTCTTCAGGGCCGAGCTTTTCCGAGATGCTGAGAATCCAGCATTATAGGAAAACTACATAGTGTTTCCCAAACTTGCCAGCTCCTAAGAACCATACCAGGGGCGCTTTTTAAAATAAGGATTTTCAGGACCCTTCCCTGAAGATTTTGATTCAGCGGTTCCAAAAAGGGGCCCAGGAGACTTTTATAATTAGGTACACAGTCATTATCATAGCGTCCACCATTTATTGAGAGCTTTCTATATGCCAGACCCCTCAAAGGAATTTCCGCGCTTCATCTACTGAATCCCTCTAGGTTAGGGTTCCCGTAGGTCCTAGAATCTCGCTTTCTCTATAAAGTCAGGGGACTGGGTTCAAGGTTCGATCCCACCACTCACTGACTAGTGTGTCATTTCAGGCAGATTTTAAAACCTCTCAGGATCTCAGTCTTCTCTTTGTGAGGCGGTGGGTAGTAAGCCAGCAGGCCTCTGGGATTTGTGAGAAGCGCCTGGCATGGCCCACAAAAAGCGCTCTGATCAGGAGGCAGCTATCTTCATTGCCTTCTTCATCACGCGGTGTTGAGATCTGAAGACCACTTTGCCCCTAATGTTCACACCTTTCAGCTTCTCGAGCCTCGAGGGCCCAGGGCTGGCGCCCCAGTGAGGGTGTTGCTGTTGTCAAGCCTCGGATGGCGCGACCCGTATGGCACAACGCCCTTTTCTCAACGCCCTCGCCTGTGCCAGTGGCGCTGTCATCTGCGCCTGCGTGCAGGTCACGCTCACTACGCCTGCGCAGACTTCGAGGCCTGGGGTGGGAGTGTCGTCAAGGAAAATCCCCAACTTCTAGGTAAACAAGTTGCCGCGTGAGCCCGCCGGCACGTGTCCCCTACATCCCCGAGACCTCTCAGCCTATGAGAAAGTTTGTAGGACTAGACTGACATTTGCGTCACCGATCTAGAAGAGTTAGGGAGGGGAGGTGTTGCAATAGCCAATGAAAACTTCGGAAGTAGATGGGGGCGTTAGTTTCCGGTCAGGCTTCCAATTAACGCAGCAGGGCGGCCCTTCCCGCACGTGGAGCTGTCACTGCCTGTTGGCAGGCGAACCAATCAGAAGATGACGGCGGCCAGCGGTGCCAATCCAGGGTGTGCGGGGGACGGGCGGTTGCACGCGGCGCGGGGCATGGGTCGCCACCCTTAGGCCAATAAACTTAGGGGGCGTGGCAATCTGCCCGAAGGGCGGGGCTGGAGAAACCAGACTTTGCTTTGGTCCCACTTGGGAGGAAACTGAACTCTTAGCGCGCGGAGCGGTGAGTGTCCAGGGGGTCGGGATGGAGCAGTCGGTATCGGTTTTTCCTGGGAGCTGTGTTCGGTTACAAGGGATGTTAATGGAACGGGGGGATGTACAAATGCGTGAACGCCGTGGTGAGAACGCTATGGTTGTGGTGAATAGGGGCCGGGGACTCAGACAACTCTGGAAAAACGGGTGTAGGCGTTTTTCATTTGATCGTTCACTGCCTTAGGGTGGACCCTGATTGCCTCCAGGGGAGGCCTCGGAAGCCCTCTGCCCATCTGAGGGAGCTGAGGTCCCTTTCAGAGAGATATGGGGACGGGATCTGTAAGAGCTGGTGGGGGATGTTCCAATGCATGGCCTTTTGAGGAGGTGCTGCGTATTTGAGAGACGCGGGGGTTCTGGTAGGGTAGGGAGGAGACTACCAAAGGGTTGACAAGATGACTTGAGAAAGTGTGGTGTGATGATTTTTCTGACCCTGATCCAGTCATGTCACTTCTTGAGTGTCTTAGTCACATGTAAAAGAGAGGAATTGGGCTTGAGAGGCAGACTTGGGGTAGGGATGGGAGAGCAACTGTGAAGAATTGAGGGGGTGGATGGAGCTAGGGTTTGTGCAGATTGCCTATGCACATGTCTTCCTGATCTGCTGGGTGAGAGGAGGCACCAATCGGATGTTCTGTTATCTACCCGTACAAATAACCAGGCCTGTGGTGGTAAAGTGGAGTAAGGTGAGAGAGTGAGGAGTGGGGTTTCTAGGAAAGCATTGGGGTTGCTGGCTGCTGGAATGATCTCAAAGACTTTGTGAGCATGTAAGAACTGGGGTATGATGCTTAGAAGGGTGTGGGGAGTGCAAACTGAATGTCTCCAGGTGGGACCCAAGAAGGAGGAGGCACTGGTCTGTGTTCCAGAAACTATGAATTGGCTTACAATTTGAGAGGCCTGGGTTCCTTAATGCTGGGGTGCAGCTTAGGGGTTGGGTAATATCTCACAGGTTTCTGGAGGGTAAGAAGCCAGAATGACAAGTCATTATCAGAACTCAGATTTGAACCCGAGGTTCCTTTTGTAAAAAGACTGAGAACATACTATGAGACAGACAATTGAGGCAAGTTTAGTAACTTCTGGGCCTTAGGGAATGGGAATAATACTACTCATCTCATGGGGTTGTGTTAAGGGAATGAAATAAAATCATGTATATACGGTGTGTAGCACAGTGCCTGGGTCATGTTTTCAAAAAACTGTAGCTGAAAAAAAATGGCTGTAAGGCCTTACTCTTCTTTCTCACAAAACAACAGTGCCAGAATGAGAGATTTATGTGAATGTTATGTCGGGGAACTATTCTCACATTCCCAAGTCTTTTTGGTGCCTCCCTCCCCATTTCACTCTGCTCCTAAAGTTGCAGCCCAACTTCTCTCATTCCTTCTCCTAGTCCTCTCCCAGGATCCAGGCCCCAGGCTGGGCCATTTGCTCGGTCCCAGTTGATTTCCTCATACTAGACCCTTTCCCCTCCTCCCTGCCCCTCCCACCTCCGCTTCCATGGTAATAAGCGATTCAGGCTCTGAGGGGGGCCTCTGGGAGGGAGCAAAGGTACGTGTTGTCTCGCAGAACCTGGGCCTCCGACTTTCCCCGCCCTGACTCTTTGGCATCGGGCCAGCAAATATGGACAGTTTGGGAGAAGGAGGCAGCCAGTGCCAGAAGCTGCAGGAACAAGCGAAGGGAGGGAGGCTGCGAGTGTGTTGGGAGGACCCCTTCCTCCTAATCGTCTCTCCAGGAATCTGGCTTTGGGACAGGAAGGCTGACTTTGGGCCGGGGGAGGCGCCCAGGCTGGGTGCATGTCCTGGGCCACCAGCCAAGAGAACATGATGTTCCTAAGTGTACTGGCCGCCGCCCTCTCGAGCTGGCCGCCTCCCAAACCGCTGCCTCTCCAGCCTCCCTGCCCCACATTCCCCTGCTGCCTAGCCCCGCCCCCTTCCTCTGCTTTGACATCACTACTGTCTCCCGCCCCCTCTCCTCCATTGACGGCAGCAGGGCTTGGTTACTGTGGGGACCGTGAGGGAGGACAGCCAAGGCCTTGGGAGCAGGTGGGGGCCGCTGGAGTGCTCGACCCTCCTCCAGCCTTTGCAAAACATAGATATGGAGGTGGAATTGGGAGAGCGAGGCCTGCCCAGGTCAGGAGAGACTGAGGCAGGTTGGGGAAAGAAGATCACACTTCAATCCCTGAGGAGAGCTGGAGAAGAAGAAAAAGGATGTTTCTTCTCTAGAAAATGAGACAAGGGATGGGTCTACAGTCGAGGGGGAGCAGTAAGTATGTGAATTGGGGGAAACAGTTTTAAGGAGAGGAGATTGAGCATCTAGGCTCCTATCCTTTGTTTTCACTGTGTTTTTCTGCTTTGGTCGTTATGGGTTATTTTATAATGGCTCTGTATCCCAGCTGTTCCACTGAGCCCTCCTCCGAGCCCCACTCCATGGGGAACACCATTGTTAAGAAAGCTAAAGCCATGTGACAGTGAGGGGAATGCACCCACCGCTGATTATGTCAGCAGCAGCTTGGGGGCCTCTTCACTTGCCACCCACATCCAGGGAGCCCTGAGCGCTACTACGCATCACAATCCTGGAAATCAAATGAAAGGAACTGAGTAATGCAGCTCTCCTGGGTCCAGACTGGAGCTTTATTCACCCAAATCAAGACCCTATTTTCTTTCTAGGACTCAGCATTCTGCTCCTGCACTTAAAAAAAAAAAAAAAAAATCTAGCCTTTTCTTCATTGCTGAAGCTCTTTCCCTCATCGCTGTCTCTCCTTGTTAATGACGAAATGATCAGCTACCATGTGCCAGGTCCTTCCCTGAGTGCTAGGGATACAGGGAACAAGACAGATAAGGCCTCTGCTATAGTGGTCCCTGAATCTTGGCTTTCTCTTTCAGTGGTGGGGATCTGAAGCCCTGCGACTCTACCTTTCTGTGTCAAGGACCCAGTTAGCCTTTTTTCCCAGCCACTTCTATCATCCTGCAGTCCTAATTTCCTGGCCCCCACTTTTGGGACAGCCCTGACTGTGGGTAGCTGCATCCACAGGAGAGAAGTGCTACACTAGTCACCACTTAGACTGTCCTGGAGACCTTTTCTTTGATTGGCCACAGAGCTGTAGCCATTGTTTCCCTTCATGGTCTCTATTGGCTCTGGCTGTCCCTTCTATTGTTTGCCCCCACGCATCACACGTGGACTCTCAGTTGCCCTCCTCCCACCTGTGGGCAGGATTTGAAGTGTCAGAGGAAGAGGCTGGGTAAAAGGGTATCATTATGATGGTTAGGCTCAGAAGGAGAACTTAGGAAAGGCCAAGCCAAATTTCTGCCTCTCCCACTCCCCTCCAGGACCAGTCATCTTATCCAGGGTCTGCATTCCTTTTCCCTACCCCTGTCAAGACCAAAGTGTCCTATTTTGCAATGCTGTTTAATTCAGGAACCAGGCATTTCTTTAGCACCGAATGTGGGCCATTTTCCCTGAGAGGCAGCTTACCTCCTCTCACCTCCCTTCCATTATTCCCTGTGCAAGGCGTCCTGCGCCCATGGGTTGGGCGGTGTCTGGGGCCCTTCAGCCCAGTGCCAGCACCCAGCTCCACGTGCGCCCGTGTGTGTGACACAGCCCTGACCTCAGCTGGGGCCAGTAGCCAATCAAGCGCTGGGACGCGATCCCCAGCCAATCGGGGGCGGGGCCTGCGGCTCTGCCGGCAGGGGGCCAATGAGGGGCAAAGCCTGGCATTATGCAACCCGCCTCTCGGCCCCATAGAGCTTTTCCACTCTCCTGCGAGCTAGAACAGCGGCGGGCAGGCGGTTGGAGGGCGCTCGCGCGGCCAGGTAGGCATTTCTATGTCCACTCTGGAGTCAGTCTCCGGCTCGGAGCCGGACCATCGCCCCCCAGCTCACATAGCGCACAAATCCTCCTCATTCCTCCCTTGCCTCTGCCCACTTCCTATCTGTCCTCAGGGACCTAGGTGTACCTTCTCAACCTGCACCGGGTGTCTGCACTCCTGACCGCCTTACGTCCCTCCAGCTTTGCTCTTCCCCCCACACACACCCGCTCCCATCCTTCCGAGCCCCACACCAGATCCTCTGCGGGCATGCCCCCTACATCTGTCCTCATCGCTCGGGGTCCCGGGTTTTGCCCCCACACTAAGACCCCTTCAAGCTTTAGGCGCTCCCCACCTTCTCCTCTCCAGTTTCTGGCCCCGCGCCGGCCGTGATGTCAGCCTGGTTCGGGCTGGAACATCCCGTTCCCGGCGCTAGTTCCTGCTCTTGGCCACAGCCTTCCCTTTTCTCCTGGCGCTTAGAAAATGCTCTGGGGCGGGGGTGTGGTTGGACGGGTAGCAGGGGAAGAATGTTCCAATGGTTTTGTGCGGCCTCTGCTCAGGCTGAGTGTGTTTGCTTTGGATGAGGAGAGAGGCAAGGTGGTGGTCACAGAACTAGGGGACTCTAGATTCTTGGGTCCTTGATGGGAGCAAGGAGTGGGGGCAGGGGCTAGAGAGAAAAAGGCTGTGTTGTCTCGGCCAGAATGACTGAGACTCAAGGCAGAGCCAATCTGGAGGGCTTTTGCGTGGAGAGCAGTGGCAGTTGTGTTTTCGCCCTGAGAAGTCCAGGGACGGCTCCCGGAACCCCGATGGGCCACCCCTCTTCACACGGCTGCTGGTCCAGGGACGGGGGATATATGCTAGGGGTGGATGACCCACGGCCACGACTGCCAGTGTGCGAGTGGGTCTTTACCCCGCTTCCGCCAGCAAATGGGGGAGGGGTCGCCCCTCCCTCCCTCCCTCCTGTGGTCCCCCAGCAACCGCTGAGCTCAGCTGCTGACGTCGGTTTCCCTGGCGACCGCGGCGGCGGCGGAAGCGCGTGGTGGGGCCGCGCATGTCAGTGCGCATGTGCAGCGGGGGTGGTGCCTCCCCCGGATAAAATTAGCCCGGAGGCCTAAATATAGGAGGCGGCTAGATCACCCCCTGCTCCGAGGCCTTAGAACCCCAATAGAGTGAAGGCCTGATGGGAACTCGCGGATGGGAAGTAGCTAGCTAGTCTTTGACCAATAACTGTAGACCACCTAGTCGACCGTTTAGGCTCTGCTTACCCAGACCAGGCTGGCAGATGTGGAGGAGGGCCCAAGGGAGGCCCCTTCCCTCTTGTGGCCCCCTATGGGGACAGTTTCAGGCATCTTATTGTAAGCCCCAAGCCTGGGTACTAGGAGCAGGAGAGCAGGCATTGAGTGGTGTGAGTGAAGCAAGCATGTACTATGAACTTAGCAGCTCATTTACTCCAAGTTTTCCTTCCTGTTCTCTTTTTGCAGGTACTGGCTGTGATCAATTTGCTCAGTTCTCAGAGTCTTAGGTTTGCCACCTCACTCCCTCAGTCAGGCCTCCTGGCCTCCTTGTGCATCCGTGGTGGCCTCCCCACCTTCCCTGTTCTCTTCGTGTCCTCCCCATGCCCCAGACATGAGTGGCCCCCTAGAAGGGGCTGATGCGGGTGGGGACACCAGACCTGGGGATGCCTTTTGCCCTGGAGGGTCCCCATCCCCTGGGCCCCCGCAGCATCGGCCTTGCCCAGGCCCTGGCCTGGCTGATGACACGGATGCCAACAGCAACGGTTCAAGCGGCAATGAATCCAATGGTCCTGAGTCCAGGGGCGCATCTCAGCGGAGCTCACATAGCTCCTCCTCCGGCAATGGCAAGGACTCAGCCCTGCTGGAAACCACTGAGAGCAGCAAGAGGTGTGTGGGGGTGGTATTACAGGGCTTGGGAGTGGTCTTGTGAGCATCCTGCCAGCCTCCTTTCCCTCATCTGGGCCTGTTGCTTCTTCTTTCTTAGCACAAATTCTCAGAGTCCATCCCCACCTAGCAGTTCCATTGCCTACAGCCTCCTGAGTGCCAGCTCGGAGCAGGACAACCCATCTACGAGTGGCTGCAGGTGCATGGGATGAGAGCTGGGGGAGAGGACTGGGACCCTGGGCCAGGCTTTGGGGCTAATGCCTGTCCCTCCTCCCCCCCTGTGGATCCTGCAGCAGTGAACAGTCAGCGCGGGCGAGGACCCAGAAGGAACTCATGATGGCCCTGAGGGAGCTCAAGCTTCGACTGCCGCCAGAGCGCCGGGGCAAGGGCCGCTCTGGGACCCTGGCCACGCTGCAGTACGCACTGGCCTGTGTCAAGCAGGTGCAGGGTGAGTGGTGCTTGCCATGAGGGCAGTGGCCAACTGGTGGACTGGTGTTGGAAAGTCTTCTCACTGTGTGTTCCCCCTGCCCTCACTCTGCAGCCAACCAGGAATACTACCAGCAGTGGAGCCTGGAGGAGGGCGAGCCGTGTGCCATGGACATGTCCACCTATACTCTGGAGGAGCTGGAGCACATCACGTCTGAGTACACGCTTCGCAACCAGGTTAGCAGCAGCCTGGGCTCTCCATCCTGATGTACCTTCATCCCCACGCCCACCACTCCTGAACCTGCTCTCGCTCTCACCCTCCTGCCCAGGATACCTTCTCGGTGGCTGTCTCCTTCTTGACGGGTCGCATTGTCTACATTTCGGAGCAGGCAGGTGTCCTGCTGCGTTGCAAGCAGGATGTGTTCCGGGGTGCCCGCTTCTCAGAGCTCCTGGCACCCCAGGATGTGGGTGTCTTCTATGGTTCTACTGTCCCATCTCGCCTGCCCACCTGGGGCACTGGGGCCTCGGCAGGTGAGGTGCCTAAGGGCTTGTGAGGAGGGATGGGGGGCCCCAGGGAGCTTCTGTGAGAAGCCAGGGACCTAGGCTTTCCCTTGCTGGGTTCTCAGCCTGGGGAGAGGGGAGGGGTCTGTGCTCACCACCCTTTTGGTCCATCCCAGGTTCAGGCCTCAAGGACTTTACCCAGGAAAAGTCTGTCTTTTGTCGCATCAGGTAGGTGGGAGCTGGTGGAGGCAGGTTCTTTGGTTCGCTCATCCTTGCCACCACCCCCCTTCCTTTGCCTTTTCTGTGTAGGCTTTGACCTTGAGTTTAGAGGGGTGGGTAGCTCACCACTAAAAGATGTTGATCCCTGTTTCTCCCTTGCTAGTGGAGGTCCTGACCGGGACCCAGGCCCTCGGTACCAGCCATTCCGTCTTACTCCGTATGTGACCAAGATCCGCGTCTCGGAGGGCGCCCCTGCGCAGCCGTGCTGCCTGCTCATTGCAGAGCGTGTCCACTCGGGCTACGAAGGTGGGCTGGCCCCAAGCCTGGCCGGTGGGGGTGCTGTGCAGAGGGTACCTCCTCTAGGCTGGGAGTGGAGCAGGGGGTAGGGCTAGAAGCATGCCTCAGTCTCTTAGAATTTTGGGACAGAAGAAAGTATTTAAGGGCGGCGGGTCTGAGCCCCCTTCCAGGTGAAGTTGGATAAGAGCCTGGAGCTAGGGAATGGCAAAGCAAAGTGTTTTGGTTTGTTCTGTTTCTGCTATGAGGAACAGGAATGGCTCAAACCATTTTTGTAGGCCATAGGCCCAAAGCAGAGCTTTGGGAGGGTTGACAGCCAGTGGAAGGCTAAGGAGCTAGGCCATTGTAGATGAAACCTAATGACCACGTCTTCTGCGCCTCAGCTCCCCGGATCCCTCCTGAAAAAAGAATTTTCACCACTCGGCACACACCCAGCTGCCTCTTCCAGGATGTGGATGAGAGGTGAGGTCAGGACCTGGAGGAAAGGGGATCAGCCAGGGTTGAGGCCATGGCTGCACTGATACCTCCTCTCGCTTCAGGGCTGCCCCACTGCTGGGCTACCTACCCCAGGACCTCCTCGGGGCCCCTGTGCTTCTGTTTTTACATCCTGAGGACCGACCCCTCATGCTCGCCATCCACAAGAAGAGTGAGTTTCCGTCACTTGCCCTCCTTCCCTGCCTGTCCCTGGGGCTACGTAACGGCTGCCCTGGGCGTTGTGTCTAGGTGCCTCGGTCTCCTGGGTCTCTCGTGGGTGGCTTCCGTCTGATCCAGTTCTGCCTCCCACTGACCTTCCACCTCATTTTCCATTGCTACCAGTTCTCCAGCTGGCAGGCCAGCCCTTTGACCACTCCCCTATTCGCTTCTGTGCCCGTAATGGGGAGTACGTCACCATGGACACCAGCTGGGCCGGCTTCGTGCACCCCTGGAGCCGCAAGGTGGCCTTTGTGTTAGGCCGTCACAAAGTGCGCACGTAAGTGGGTCATGCCCCTGACCTGGCACTGGGGCGGGGGGGGGCAGTGCCCAGCAGGCAGGACTGGAGACAGGGCCTGACTCACCCTTCCCCACCACACAGGGCACCTCTGAATGAAGACGTGTTCACTCCCCCGGCCCCCAGCCCAGCTCTGTCCCTGGACCCTGATATCCAGGAGCTATCAGAGCAAATCCACCGCCTGCTATTGCAGGTGAGAGCTGACGGGAGGGTGCCTGGGAGTGAGGGCAGCATAGTGAGCAGGCCTCCAGTTACCTAACCTATTCCTCTCCCTTCCTCAGCCTGTGCATAGCTCCAGCCCCACGGGGCTCTGTGGAGTTGGCCCTGTGACTTCCCCAGGACCTCTCCTCAGCCCTGGCTCCTCCAGTGATAGCAATGGGGGTGACGCTGAGGGGCCTGGGCCTCCTGCCCCGGTGAGTGACTGTCTCTGCCTCGCCCTCTAGTCTCCTACTTCCCCCCATCTTCCTCTGCGTCAGCATTGCTAATCCCAGGGCAGCTTTGCCTTGTCCTCCCCACCTTTCTCTTCTTGTCCTGCCTCCTCCATGGTCTCTCTGTCTTCTCATTGGTACCTTCTTGTACTGGGCCGCTGGTCCCCAATGCTGGCCAGCCCCCAGTGCCGTTCGTAACCCGTCTGTATCTCACAGGTGACCTTCCAGCAGATCTGTAAGGACGTGCATCTGGTGAAGCATCAGGGGCAGCAGCTTTTTATTGAATCTCGGGCCCGGCCTCCACCCCGGCCTCGCCTCCCTGGTGAGTTGGCTGAGGGTGTGGGTGAAGAGTGAGAGGGACACTGACCTTCACTCCCAGTCCATTCACCTTTCCCCTTTTTGCCCCAGCTATAGGCACGTTCAAGGCCAAGACCCTCCCCTGCCAGTCCCCAGGGCCAGAGCTGGAGGGAGCTCCTGCCCCAGTCCATGTCCCAGTAGCCTTGGCCCCTGAGGAAGCTGAGAGGAAGGAAACCTCCACGTGCTCCTACCAGCAGATTAACTGCCTGGACAGCATCCTCAGGTACCTGGCCTCTTCCCACTCGGGCCCTGGCCCTGGCCCACCCCAGACCCTGTCCTCATGCCAGTCTGGTGCATCTCCAGGTACCTGGAGAGCTGCAACATCCCCAGCACAGCCAAGCGCAAGTGTGCCTCCTCCTCCTCCTGTACTGCCTCCTCTGCCTCCGATGATGACAGGCAGAGACCAGGTCCCGTCCCTGCGGGGGCCAGAAAAGGTAACGACCCAGCACATGCCCTGCTCCCACGACCCCACCCTGGCCTGGTGGCCTCCTCTTGTCTCTATGCTTCTGCCTTGGGGTCCCCCTTTTTCTGCCCTGCTCCCCTCCCAGCCTCCTGATCTCCACTCTGCTGCCTCCAGTCAGCCCCGCCCCCTCCTTCCTGGGCTCCCCTCTCCTGCCCTGCCCTTTGGGGGTTGGGGTGGTAACTGGCGCCATCTCTCTGCACAGATCCATCGGCGGCGGCACTGCTGTCTGGGGAGGGGGCCGCCCCACGGAAGGAGCCGGTGGTGGGAGGCACCCTGAGCCCGCTCGCCCTGGCCAATAAGGCGGAGAGTGTGGTGTCCGTCACCAGTCAGTGTAGCTTCAGCTCCACCATCGTCCATGTGGGAGACAAGAAGCCCCCGGAGTCGGGTATGGGCGTGGAGCGAGGAGGCAGTGCCCGGTGCCGTTGGTCCCACAGCCAGAGCCCCCTCCTGCCTGCGTTATCCTCCCCGTCCAGCCCTCATGGAGAGAAGGAGGCCTCTCTCTCATCTTGGGGCTATGCTGCTTGCTTTCTGCCCCTTCCGTCCTTTGCTGTTTTGCCCTCCCCCTGTCCTGCTTTGTGTATTGTTTTTATCAGTTCAAACATAAAGTATGGGGTGGGGGGTTCAACTTCAAGCTGCTGAGCACAGAGTTTCTGGAGGAATGTCGAATGCCCCTCAGGCATCAGTCTAGGACCAGACCCTGAAGGGTCTTTGGATATTGAGCTTCCATACGTGTAAGGGAAGGGTAAGGGGTGGGCTTCCCTTCCAGTGAGGGCAGGGGAGGTGTCATCCCAGAGTGGCTGCCTGGTGGGTACCAGCCACTGGAGGGGACTGAGCACCATCTCTCTTCCTGGGTCAACTCTGCATGGAAGAGAGGGCCCAGGGCCAGCCCTTGGCAAGGAGGTGGCCAAGAAATGGACGCAGAGCTCAGGGCCAGGGGTGGGCCAAGCTTTTGGACAGGGATGCTGTGGTGTGGAGAGTATGGTATTGACCACTGAGGTGACCCTTTTCTCCCCATCTCACTTCTCTCAGACATCATCATGATGGAGGATCTGCCTAGCCTGGCCCCGGGCCCGGCCCCTAGCCCGGCCCCCAGTCCCTCGGTAGTCCCTGACCCGGTCCCAGATGCCTACCGCCCAGTGGGCCTGACCAAGGCCGTGCTGTCCCTGCACACACAGAAGGAGGAGCAGGCCTTCCTCAGCCGCTTCCGGGACCTTGGCAAGCTGCGTGTGCTCAATGGCTCCTCCATGGCACCATCAGCCCCTGGCGAGCGAGGTAGCCACCCAGGACCTCCCTAAACCTGCCCTCTGCTCAGTCTAGGACCAGACTGTTAGGGTGAGGGTCTCCTCAGGGAGACATTTTCACACCAGGGACCCAGGCTAGTGCTGCCTCTCCCACTGGGGCCTTGCCTGGGGACAGGCCCCTTGCTGGCCTCTCCCCACTAGGCTAGGGTTCTGGGCTATAGCCAGAGGAGGGCAGCCTGGGGGAGTGGGACTGAGATGGGCAGGCAGAGGTGCTCTGCTCCAGGTAAGCTGCTTCAGCCCTGGCCAGGGCAGGGGCAAGAAGTATTCCCACTTAAGACTAAGTTGCTGATAAGAGATCTGAATTGATTGGGGCCAAAGACAGGCAGAGGTCCGGGACAACTCTCTGGGTTCAAGGGTAGATGGAAGGTCCCTGCAGGCAACGGTTGCAGGACTGGGCTTTTCTACTCCTCTGCCTCATGCCCACCTCTTCACTTCACCAAGAGCTAGGCAGAGCGTGGCCTCACCAGGCAGGAAGTAGCACCTAGGTGGGCAGTGCCTGTGTGACTTTGGTGATGGACTGGAGCCACCTGCCTGTTCATCCGTGGACTCAATCTGTCTCCTTCCATCTGCCAGTGTGCCTGTTTTTTGCACACTCCCATGACCCCTCATGTAACCTTTCCTTTCTCGTCCTTTCTCAATAAATCCCCTTGTCCCTGCCTCCTGTGATTCTTCCCTGAAGGTTCCCCCCACATTCCTGAGTCTCCTCTGGCCTATATGGGCTGGGAAACCATAGTGTCTGTGGGGCTTGTGCTTCCCTTCTCCCTGGTCAGTGTCAGGGCAGTGGGGGTGATAGGTGCTAATCTTGAGGTTGAGGTCCTCACTAACCCCAGTCTCTCCCCACAGGCTGCCACCATGGCCCCGTAGCCCCTGGCCGTCGACACCATTGCCGATCCAAAGCCAAGCGCTCACGCCACCACCAGGCCTCCCGGCCTCAAGCCCCTTACGCCTCCCATCCCTCACCTGTTCCATCGTCTGCCCCTTGGCCACCCCCACCAGCTACTGCCCCCTTCTCAGCTGTGGTCCAACCGTACCCCCTGTCAGTATTCTCCCCCCGAGGAGGCCCTCCACCTCTGCCCTCTGCCCCCACCTCTGTGCCCCCTGCAGCGTTCCCTGCACCCCTGGTGACTCCAATGGTGGCCTTGGTGCTCCCTAACTATCTATTCCCTACTTCCGCTAGCTATCCCTATGGGGTACCCCAGGCCCCCGCTGAGGGGCCTACTACCCCTGCCTCCCACTCCCCTTCTCCGTCCCTGCCCCCACTGCCCCCCAGCCCTCCCCACCGTCCGGACTCGCCACTTTTCAACTCGAGATGCAGCTCCCCTCTCCAGCTAAATTTGCTGCAGCTTGAGGAGCCCCCTCGTGCTGAGGGGGGTGCGGTTGCTGGGGGCCCTGGGAGCAGTGCCGGGCCCCCACCTCCCAATGAGGTTTCCGAGCCAGAGACCAGACTGGTGAGCACTGAGCCCCCACTGCACCCTCTCTCTAGCCCCTGCCCTGGGGCACTGCAGCCTTTCCTCCCCATCACTGCTTGTCTGTGGTCCCTTCTCCCTGCCCTCCGCCTGGCTGCTGCCCTCATCTCTAGGAGATGGTATCACAGGCTGGGAGACACCAACTGTCCCTAAGAGCAAAAATCAGCTGCCTTATCTGTGAAATGGGGACAGTCCTGTCTGACAGGCGGCAGGGACATCCCAGGAACTTCTGAGAGCCCACCTGCCACTTGGGCAGGGCTGAAATCCTGTCCCTGTCCCTCTGCAGCTGTCTGCTCTCTCATCTTGTCAGGCACTGGGCAACGAGGACCGCTTGGGTTGGGTGCCCCCATCCCCGGTGAAAGCAGTTGATGAGCAGGAAGCCTAGGTGTTGATCCCTTAACCCTTCCCCCCTCCGCAGGCGGAGGTGACCGAGTCCTCCAATCAGGATGCACTGTCGGGCTCCAGTGACCTGCTAGAGCTGCTGCTGCAAGAGGACTCGCGCTCCGGCACGGGCTCTGCCGCTTCAGGCTCCCTGGGCTCTGGCTTGGGCTCTGGGTCTGGTTCGGGCTCCCACGAGGGGGGCAGCACGTCGGCCAGCATCACTCGTGAGTGCCCGCTCACCAGTGGCTCCCAGGGCAGGCCAGCAGTTGGGGAGTTGGGAGGCCAGGCCCCTTCTTGACCGAGCAACCTGGGCACGTGGCCTTGGGGGGGAGACTCTCTGAGGCTCCGGGATGGGGTGGGAGTGCTGGCCTCTCTGACTCTGTGGCCTGTACCCTCCCCTGTGCCTCACAGGCAGCAGTCAGAGCAGCCACACAAGCAAGTACTTCGGCAGCATAGACTCTTCTGAAGCGGAGGCTGGGTCGGCCCAGGCCAGGCCTGAGCCCGGGGACCAGGTCATGAAGTATGTGCTCCAGGATCCTATCTGGTTGCTCATGGCCAACGCTGACCAGCATGTCATGATGACCTATCAGGTGCCCTCCAGGTGAGGAGTTTGAGAAGCCCCCCACAGCATCCCCATCAGAGGTAGTGGGAGGCCAGGCTACTGAGGTCACTCCCCCGCTGAACTTGGGTTTTTTTTCCTCTGGAGCTGGCTCTGCCCTAGGATGCCCATCCTACTCCCTGCCCCTTGGAGCCCCGTCATTATTCCTTCCAGGCTGAGGGCAGGGTTCCTGTCTTGGAGTCCTGAACACCCATAGCAGGAAGGCGTGTCACAGCGGTAGTGGGTGGGGAGTTGGCGGTAGAGGAAGAATGCTAGTTTCGTGGGTCCTGGTCCAGGCTCTGGCTCCCAGCCTCTGCCTTTTGCACCTCTTCCCTGGGCAGGGATGTGGCCTCTGTGCTGAAGCAGGACCGAGCACGGCTCCGGGCCATGCAGAAGCAGCAACCTCGGTTCTCGGAGGACCAGCGGAGGGAACTGGGTGCTGTGCACTCCTGGGTCCGGAAGGGCCAGCTGCCTCGAGCCCTTGATGTGCTGGTGAGAGGAAAAGTCGGGGCCAGAGGAAGACTTGAACTCAGGATAAAGGGGTATAGGCTAAGGGTTGATATCCTCAGTGACCTTTAATCATTAATTTTGAAGGATGTTAATTCCACTAAGCATGCTGCTGCTTAATGTACTGTTAAACCACATGAGTCTTTGCAGAACTTCTCTGAGCCTTTCCTTTGCTCACCATGACTACTTCCATAGTGGATCTGGGTACAGGGTCTAAAGCATTTTCCAGCCTGTTGAACCCGAGGCTTCTCTTGCTGAGGTGCATCTGTGTGGACTGGTGTTTCTTGGGAGTACATTTTGGGAACAGTTTTGGGCTAGAGGTGAAGGTGGGGACTGGTGCATCAGTGGCAAGAACCCTGCCTTGACTGCCTTGTCCTCTGTCTCCTTCCATAAGGCTTGTGTGGACTGTGGTAGCAGCACCCGAGACTTCGGCCACTCTGATGACCCACTCTTTTCGGAGCTGGATGTACTGGGGCTGGAGCCCATGGAAGAGGGTGGAGGCGAGGGTGGTGGTGGTGAGGATGGAGGAGGGGAGGGGGAGGGGGGAGGGGAGTCTGGGTCCCAAGCTGGGGCCAGGCTCTCATGCTCTCAGGACTTGGCCATGGAGGAGGAGGAACAAGGTGAGAGCTCATCCAGTCCAGCCTTACCTGCCCAGGAAAATGGCACCAGCTAGATTCCATTTTGGGGCCACTCTGGGAGTCTGTAAGAGGCTTCCTTACTCCAGTGTCCCAACTCTCAGAACTCATTTGTGGCCGGACCAACCAATAGGAAACTGCCCCAGCTTTTCCTGCTGTAGGGGGCCGGACCCCCATCACCAGCCCAGAATCCAGGCTGCCTCCTGGCCTCCTCTGAAGGAATAGAGAGAGGGTGGCACTCAGCCTCAATCCTTCCCCTTGGTGAAGCATCCTCTCCCCTGGACAAGGTTGCTGACAAGCTGCTGAAGTGATCTCTCTAAATCCCAGCTGAGCCCAAGTTCCGGTCCCTGAGGGTTGGGGCTGCACTTATTTATTGGGGGAGACAGCCCTTTCTTCCACCTCCTCCTCCTCCTAACCCAGAGGGAGGGAAGAGGGGGTGAGGGAGGGCCTGAGACCCAAGCAGGACCCAGGGGTCTAGACCCCTAGCTGCTCCAGGGTGGAGGAAGTTGGTGGACCATGGAGTCCCTGGTGCTGCCCCTCAGATGGGACCCAGGTGTTCTCAGCTGTACCCTCTACCGATGGCATTTGTGTTTTTGATATTGTGTCTGTTATTTTGTAATACAAAAAAGAAAAAAAAAAAAAATGACTCTGGAGTGAAGTTTTGGGGTTGGGTGAGGGGAACTGTGGAGGTATAGGGAGGTGCTTAACGTAGTGCCTGGTAGGTTACTGTTGTTATTTGCCGTCAAGTCATGTCCGACTCATGGTGACCCTTCCTTGGGTTTCCGAGGCAGTATAAGGGTGGGCAATTCCATTCCCTGACAATCCCTATTCTTCTCCCCACACCCTTTCCAGCTGAAGAAGGGCATTGCTAAGCCTGCTGTATACACACCAAGCTCAAACCTTATTCTCACCTCGAACATTCTCGCAGCCAGTTTGTCCTTTGAAGGAGAGATGAGAAGCAACTTGTGGCCAAGAGCTTCTGCGAGCTGCAACCCCGGGGCGGGGGTGGGGGTGGGGGAATCCTATTATATCCCAGGGTATTATTAGGAGGCAGTAGAGGGTGTTTAGCTTTTTAATCGCTACAGGAGAGGGCGCTTCAGATCACCATAGGTGTCTAAGGAACGTGGGGTCTGAACCCATTCATGATCGTTTTGGCCCCCAAGAATATGGGAGAAGGGAGGGGCGGAGCGAGCGGGACGCATTAACCCTGGAAAGGTGAAGGGGAACCTACAATAAACGTTCCACGGTTTCCGTTTACTGCGGCCATTGAGAGCTGATCTAGCCCTAGTCAGGGCCCGCCTTCGCCGGCGCCGTGGCTTAGCTGGTTAAAGCGCCTGTCTAGTAAACAGGAGATCCTGGGTTCGAATCCCAGCGGTGCCTGGGCCCCACAGAAGCAGTATATTATTGCTGCGGAGAGAATGCATTTCTGGACTCCTCTTTCTGTCACCAAATTCGATAGATTCTTCTTCTTACCAAAGCAACCCCTCTTTGGGCTTGCGTTTCAGTGCGCCATTAAAAGGCTGCGTCTTGGAGGCCAACACACGCGGTCGGTTCCGTGAGCTGTGGTGAGGTGGAGGAATTCCTTGCTTTCTCCAAACTGTTTGGGAACCTAGATTCGAATTTGGACTCATTTTGTTGTGGCCGTACTGTGGTTTGGGAGGGACAGGGAGAACAATAAGGCCGACACTCAGGTAGCTGATACAGATGAGGCGCGGTAAGCGCTACTGAATCCAAACGCAACCGCACAGAAATCGCGAGACAACAAGAGGATGAGGGCGGGGTCGGCGAGAGGCAGGCGCGTTGATAGGCAGCTATAGTTGCGCAGGGCCGAGGTCGCATGCGGCTGTGATGGCCGAGTGGTTAAGGCGTTGGACTCGAAATCCAATGGGGTCTCCCCGCGCAGGTTCGAATCCTGCTCACAGCGTCTGTACTTTTAAGAGCACGTGTTACCCTTCTTGGGGCGAAAAGCAGTTTTTTTTTTTTTTTTTTCCCTCCTAGCACTTCCTTCCCTTGGACAGCCCCTCGTCTTTATTTATTTCAAACACTCAACTGATATCTTTCTTTATTTTGAAGCTCTCAAGGATCCAAATATTGTCAATCATCCAGGCCCGACCTGCGAGCGCCCTCTTGCGGGCCTCAGACTCCTGCCAACCCCTTTGAAGGTTGTGTGACCTGCAAGCCTTTTTGCTACCAATTTCATTTCTTAACTCCACCAAGCTCAGATGGTCCCTTAGTGCTACTTGGCAGTCATTACATTTTCCTACTCCATTCTCCCTCATATACTTGATGTTTTACAGAGAAAGTAAAGCATTCTGAAGAGTTTCCCAACCACGGACTCTGTCTTTCCCTCATTACTGTGATGAACCTTCCACCTAACCAGCTCACCAGCTCCTACCCTTAATTGCATCTCCCAACCCTTCTGGCCCACTCAGGGGTGTCACTCCCTTTCTTACACCATCGACTTTTCAAAAGCAGTCTTGACTCTACATCCCCTCCAGCTACTGCTCCAGTTCTCTGCTGCTGTCTACCACAAAACAAATGATCTAAACTAACTGTCCCCAATTCCATCTTTCCATTATCCTTTGAACCCTTTCTAATCAGGCTGCCTACTCCCCTAATCAAATCTGCTCCTGTGAAAGTTACCAAACAACGACCACGTTGCTTAATCCACTGATCACTACTGAGTAGTATTGACAGATACTTACTCTCCCCTCCTGGAAACACTGTCTTCACTTTGCCTTCTAGGGCTCCTCATCCTTCTGTTCCTCATCCTTCCTTAGCAGCTCATTCACAGATTCCTTTGCTGGTTCCTCATCTTCTGGGTTTCTAAATGTTGAAGTGTTCTCAAGACTCAGTTCTCCAACCTCTTTGCTATCTGTCTTCATTATTTTGATGTCATGGCTTTGTATCCACACTTTTGATCTCCAACTCCAGAAATCTCCCCTGAATAAACAGATACATGTATCCTGTGGCCTACTTATCATCTCCACTTGCACATCTAATAGGGATCACAAACTTAAAATGTTCCAACCAGACTTCTGGTGTTTACCACAAAATCTGCTTCACCTTTCTTTCACCTTTCCATCTCAGTAAATAGAAATCCCTCTCCTTCAGTTGATGAGGTTAACAACTTTAGAATCATCCCTGATGCTTCTCTTCTTCATATCAAATCAATCAGCAATTTCTATTTAAAGTTTGTCCAAATTTTGCTTACTTAGTATTACCTTTACCACGAAACCCCTAGATCAGGCCACCCTCATCTCATCTGGATTAGTGCACTAGCCTCTAAATTATTCCCTTGCTATCACTCTTGTTCCTTGTCCTGTTATAGTCTACTCAATATATCAATCAGGCAGAATAACCCTTTTAAAACCTCTATCAGATTCTGTCAGTCTGTCTTTCAAAATCTTCCAGTGGGATTGTTGTTGTTATTATGTGCCATTGAGTCAAACCTGACTCATAGCGACCCCTTCTTGGGTTTCCGAGGCAGTATCACTACGGAAGTAGGATTGCCCAACCTTCCTTTCGAGGAGTGGCTGGTGGGTTTGAACCACCAGCGGGCTGGTTAGCAGGCAAGTGTCTTAGGCACTATGAGATACCAATACTAATTCATGGTTTTTAATGTTTATGTAGGGAGCTCTGGTAGTGTAGTGCCTGAGGCACTTGACTGCTAACCAGTAAGGCTGGCAGTTCAAACCTACCAGCCACTCCTCGGAAGGCAAATGGCAATCTTTTTCCCTGGTGATAATGCCTTGGGGCCAACTCAACGCACACAACAACAATGTGTATGTTGTTGGGTGCTGTCAATTTTTTTTGTGTGTGTGTGGCCTTATTGCAAGCAACCCCATATGACAGGTAGAATTGTAGTTTTTATAGGAATGGATTGTCAGATCTTTCTTCTGTGGAGCTCCTGGGTGAATTCAAACTACCAACCTTTAATGTGTAAACCACAGCAAAAACCAAAGTCACTGCTGTCGAGTCGGATCCAACTCATAGCAACCCCTCCTTGGGTTTCCGAGGTGGTATCACTACGGAAGTAGATTGTCCAGCCTTCCTTCCGAGGAGTGGCTGTATAGAAATATAGAAATAAATGTATATACACATACATCTATTTCCTAGCTCTATCCACTGAGAGAGTCTAGAAGTAATGGCACGCCAGTAACAAGGAGCACACCAAGCACTCAGATCTTGATTACTAAATACCATTCTCTGCTAAAATTAATCAGGACTCCTTGAAACAAATTCCAGGTCTGGGAGTGGGGGGTTACAAGATGATCTTGGAACTTTTTTTTTTTTTTTTTTTGCAGTAAAGCAGTCCTTAAAGATTACTTGTTGTTGTTGTTGTTAAGTGCCGTCGAGTCAAACCCGACTCATAGCGACCCCTCCTTGGGTTTCCAAGGCAGTATCACTAAGCAAGTAGGATTGCCCAACCTTCCTTCCGAGGAGTGGCTGGTGGGTCTTAGTCACTATGCTACCAGAGCTCCCCAAAGATTACTAGGTATATATAAAAAAAGATACAGCAGTTTGCTCGAAGGGACTCCCATTGACTAAATCTGGGACAATTTGAGCATTAAAACAAATGATGGTTGTGATGGATTATAATTCAATGAATAAAATACAGATGCAAAGTTCATACAGAGTAAATACATGGGAACAAAGGGAAGGCTCTTACAGTAAACTCACAACAAATAAATACAGATAAAGGTACGGAGTCAGAAATCATCAGTGGCTACTAAACCAGTGAGTGAATATTTGATGAGGAATAAATAGCAATGATATTCCTAGTGTCTTTCCACAAATTAATTACTAATGGAAACTAATAACTTTACAGTGGGGAAACCTGGCAAAGACCATTTTAGCCTATGATCCATGCCTATATCTCAGTATTGGGACAAATTGACACATGTCTTCTTACGTAATGCATCGAGAAGGACACGACATCACTCCTGTGGTGAAGTTCCTGCCACAAATGCAAACCCAAATAATTTGAAATGAGCAACCAACCAAACTGAAGGACATTCTGCATAACAATGATCCT